GTGACGCGGGTGAGACCGAGGGCGTGGTCATGGTACCAGAGATTGCCGGGATCTTGGAGATTTGGGTAGGAGAAGGTGGGGGAGGAGAAAGCGGGACCGACGGAGGAGAAGTTTGAGGTGAACCAGGATTGGGAGTGGCCGTCGCTGGCCGGTGGGTGGACGCCTCCGTGAAGGTGGACGACGGTTGGGACACCGGAGGGGGCGGATGGGATGGGGATGGTGGGGTCCCATGGTAGGATGTGGCGGGAAGGGAGATGGTTCTTCCATGTTATGTGCGTCGGAATGCCCTGCAGAGCTTCGATGGTCGGGCCGGGAACGGTAGCGGTGGCCCGGGAGGCACCGTAGGCGAAGACCCGTGTTGGGGGAAGGTCCCGGTGGAATTTCTGCGGTTCAGATATACTGTCAGGGCACCATCGGACGTCTTAAAAATATATATATATATATATCTGAATCGAAGCGAGGATGCTTGATTACAATGTAGTAAATTTCACGGACCCTTATTTATTTATTTATGAAATTACACTTTTTACACAAAACAAATCTATTTTTTCACGACTGACCCTCTATAAAATTTTTTTGAGATATATTTGTTTACCTGTGTAAACCGTTTGAAGTGTTTATAAAATTAAAGGATGGTATTTTACTCATTTAACTCCAATCTAATATGATTTTAAATTTCAATATGAAAGTTAATTAATACCACTCAATCTTCCATCTCAACATTGCGAGAAGAGAAAATGAGATTATTATAAAACATATGAATACATTAAAAAATACACACGCACATGCACTCCAAATGTATATATATATATATATATAGGAATAATGTATATTTTTTTAAAAAAGAAAATTATATGACCAAATTAGAGGAACAACATTGAAATACCTATATATTTTAAATATTATCTATTGAGAGTATTACAAACATTTGTCCACAGATAGCACTTTTAAAATTGTATTTTCAAATAGACTAACTGTTTCTGAAATACAAGCTTCTGAACATCAATTACAACAACTTTTGAATTGAGATTTTGTATAGTCACAACCAAAACAAATGCACCCTAAAGAAGAGAAAGCGAACTTCAGCGAAATTTGTGATGGGTTGTTAAATTGGAAGATTAAAGTTGATATTTTATTTGGGACTTTGATTAAATTCTCTTGGAAATTTAATAGCACCAAACTCTTATGCATTTATTTATCTCATATTAAAGTTTTGATTTTTTGCAAACTAAGTATCATTTCCTATGTATAAATGATGTATAAAAAGGTAGATTATATTATTTATATAGATAAGGTGCTTTGGATATAAAAATCAAAGTTTCGGTGCGAGATAAATAAATGCATAAGAATTGGGTGTTATGTATGTAGATTCCCCAATTTTGTATATAATTTCTTGAGTCGCAAAACTTTCTTTTAATAGAAGCCGTATTTTCTTTAAATTGAAATGAAAAAATGACTGACATTTTCTGCTTCCAAAAATTTTTATCATAAAAATCTTTCTGACGTTCACAATGAAATTTATGTTGTTTAATCTATTGAGATATTGTTGAATTCAAAAGTGTACAATCATGTCCAAGAAATAGAGCGTAGGGACTGAGCAATAGTAAGAGGAAGAGAGAGGGAGATTGAGAGAGAGACACTTACCTCGTAAAGGCGAATGAGATGTTCTTAGGTTATTCGACCCTATTTATTTCACTAAAGATTTGAGTTACAAGAGACGGGAAGAGGTGAGAGTTCTGCCTACATGACGAGTTGAGAGAGAAGAGCCCAAAAATCCTCAATACATGTCGTGGTTATTCTATTTATAGAACATAAAAGAAGATAATACTATAATACATAACTACCCTTGTTTTAAAGAGAGTAGTACAGAATATTCTATTCTTCTTTTTTGAATCATTGGTTTGTTTTGAGATTCATGCACATCATTTTTGGGTATACATATTTAATTTTCCGATTTTTTTTACTCCTTAATAGAGACAAATGCGATAAAGATACAAAATTTATAAAGCAAAAAAAAAGATTACAAAAACCACTGATGATAATCTCTATTAGGCCCTTTTTTGCACTATGTTGTGTCATTTTTTGTGCCATCTTGCTTGCTCTAAATCATTTTGCTCTAAACCCACTCCTTTGGTACTTGATCCTTGGTGGTGTGATATCCGCTCCGAATCATTTTCAATTACCTCTCGCAGAGCTTGTCAATGTCAAGTAGGGGATCATCTCTGAGAATGAGCATAATTCATATATGTAAGTAGACGGATAGACTAGACAATCTTGGCTTCTGGACTGACAATTTTTATTTAGTCAGGTGGCTTAGAGGATCGACTGGACAATCTTGGCATCTTGATCGACCTCAAAACTATTTAGATGTATATCTAGGGTGGTGAAGCTAGGCTATAAACCTTCATTCGTGCGGGTCATGGTCGCTTGATTGGACATCCATCTTAGGTTGGGTCCCCTCTCTATGGGAGGAGGTTGCCTAAACTTCTCTCCAGAATGATTGTTGACGTATCCTTCATGGAACATATCACTATTGAGAATGAAACCATTTCCAGATTTTTGTCCAACCCAAGCTATGAGACTTGAGTTTATGGTGAGAAAAGCTCTCTGGATAGTCCTTATTACCGATTGGGCTTCTATGTCATTAGTGTCGATAGTATTTAGTTATACCTTTAATTTATGGCCGTCCTTGATATCGTTGTCAGTCGTATTTCTTTATGCCTCAAGCATTCTTGGCATTTCTGTTAGTTTTGTTACTAGGATTCGAGTTCCTCGAGTGTTGGCATAAATTGTATTAGATACAAAAAAAGGAATTCAAGAACTAATTGTTTTAAATTCCTGCATGCAAGGACTAGTTATTGAATTTATTTGAAATACTAAATATAAGAAAGTTTTCAGCTGCAATCACATTATATTTCGTCGAGTCATAAAAATAAGTTTTTTACAGCTTGATGAAATGGATTACTTTTTTTAATCACACCTCCTTGAGGAAATGGATTACTTCGTTGATATGTTTTGGTAAATGACAAGCGTTAGGTGAATATATATACACACACACACACACAATCTCTCGTAATCTTATCATATCTACCATTTTTCTTTTCTGAGAGTTAATAAATAATTAAATAAATATGAATAATAAAATGAATGCGGTACGGAGCAGTCCAAATATCTTAAGAGTGAACAAATAACTACACGAGCAGCCCTTAACAAATATAGTTAATGTTTGAAGAAAAATTATATAAAGAAAATCCGAGTTTTATATTCATTTATATCAAATAAAAAATAAATAAAAAATCTTATTTTCGAAGTTAGTTATCATATTAAAAATTTAAAAGAATTTTTAACTATATTCAATCAAGTGATCAGCAATGGAATTTAATAAACTAATGAATTTTGAGGATATACTTTTTTTCTTCATTTTAAGGGAGGGATTATTTAACGCCTATATGACTTACGTTAAATTAAGATCTATTAAGGGTCCGTTTGGGTAGTTTATAAGTGCGGGGCCGTACCGTTTGGTTCGCGCGTTTCGCCAGCTTATCCGAAACTGCGTTTGAGTTTTTATACTAAACGCAGGTCGCGGTCGGCCCCTGCGGCCGGCCCGCGGGCCATGTTTCAGGATAAACAGTTTATCCTGAAACATACAAACTACCCTAAACGGACCCTAAATCTAGATTTATCAAATCCAAATTTTATAAATTCAGGATAGTGTTTGGTTTAATTTATGACTAAATTCATTAAATTTGTTTACCGTGTTCGATATAAATCCACTCTCATAACTTTTTTGCTAATCTAAATTCATTAAATTCGCCTAAAAATCGGATTTAATATATCCAGATTTAAGCCAAAAACAAAATAACTCAGAGGAAGGATAATTATATTTAGTAAATTACAGCTTTAATTTCTCCTTTTTTTATTTAGATGAATTTAGAATTTAAATTCTTTTCCCACTGAAAAACACCATTTTTTTTTTTTTGGCAAGTTATAAATTGATAAATCCAACTCTCCTGGTAGCCATTGCACCGATGAAGCATGAAAGCAATGGGAGTAAACAAAAACAAAAGGATTCAGAAGTGGGAGGGTGGGAAGTACTGACCCACGTTTTCTTGTACATTCCTATGGTGAGGTTACCAGGCTCGAGCAAACCGTTGTGAATGCGGTAGCCCTGGAGTCGAGGCATATCCGGCAGCTCGTCGACGAACATCGCGAGACGGGTGACGTTGACGAGACCAACGCCGCCGGCGAGAGATCCGCTAATCGCCCATGCAAGAAGGAAGAGAAGGAGAAGGAGAAGGAGGAGAAACTTCGCCATTGGCGTATTGCCCTCTCTACCACTCCTTTTCAGAAACAGAAAAAAACAGAGAAACAATAGTGGCCTGTGGGCCTTGTGCCGTTTTCTTCCACTTCTTTTTAGAGCCGGGAAAACTGAAGAAGATCAGTGGCGTAGTTTAAAGAAAGGGGAAGGGATTCGTCACTATCGACCAAAAAAGCATCACGGCTCCCCAAAAAAGTTTTGAGATTTTGAGCTGTATCGAAATAATCTTAAAGCCGACAATTAAATTTATAGAATTGGTCAAAAAGAATTTCGAAGTTACAGAATTCAAAGCGGGCCTAGAATTCGCGCGAGCCATTTCAGTTATGGACAGAATTATTTACAATTATTTTCGGAGGAGGAGAAGGACCTTTTGGAAACTGAGAGAGAAGGGGTTTTGGGCCTTGTGGCGTCGTTTATGGAGGATTGCTTGAAGGACAAATTATGGTGGGATCGTGGTCTACAAGCACAATCACGTGGGAAGCGGGAATTTGCGCATGCAAGGCAAGAGGAAGCGAAGAGCCAAAGGGGATCACCTAAGTGCAGATGCCAGCTCGACATACACGACTGCCTGTTATACTTTTCCAATTGATGCCTCAGACATTTCAATTGATGCGAGTGGGATTGAAATTAGTAAAATTTACGTGCATATCAAACATTTCTTTATGTATATATATACATACATATTGTGCAGGAAAATTTATGGAGGTAAAATATTATATTAGTAGAATAATGTCATATACAGAGATTAAAGAAAGAAGTGATTGAAGGAGATCAGAATTTTTTATGTGAAAAAAATTTTGGAATAGAATAAATCATTGGGCCTAGCTCAGTAAAAATAATTGATTATATAATTATATATGCATAGATTCATACTGTCTTGACCCACAACTACACATATTTTTAGTTTGCAAAAGATAAAAAAAAAAAAAAAACGTGACCGAATATATTTTTAGCGGCTAGTGTGTATAATAAATATGTTATTTGATTAAGAGTTTAATTAACAGTTTACATATTATGGATATTACATAAGTATACAGATCGTTTCAAGTAATGTAAGATTTTTTTTTAAAACCCCTGTATCGATCCCACAGTGAAAGTGAATGGACTAAGAAACTACTTTCTATCAACTTAGTAAACTCTACTTAAAGTCCAAACACTATTTTAGGAAATATGATAGCAAGTTCAGGTGTAAAAAGAAAATTACAAACTTTCTACAAGTTCTATTTCAAAGCTAAAGGTAAATGCAGAGATTCTAAACTAGTTTTATAAAGAAATGTTCAAATTATGTAAAAGTTCTTTCCTCTTGCAAAGTGATAATATCAGTGTAGGAATCAAATGTTAAAAAGTTAAAATGTAATTTTGTGCCGAATAGAAACATATATATTTTTTACCCTCTTCCGAGTGCATGAAGAAAATTAGCTAACATAAAGTTAAGTTTTTAGTTGATATGGATATGCTGGGTAGGTTCTAGTTTGTCACTTTCAGATTACCCACTGTGCCCTCTCTATAGGACAAACTAGGCCTTAGGTTCCCAAATCAAGATCAAATTGGTTAATGTTCTAGCCTATTACCCCAGAATCACTAATTTTACGTCCAACAAAACTTATCACCCTATCTATTTCTACCAACCCATGGATTAACTAATCCATGGAACTAATGTAATTCTTAATAATTGAGGAATACATAGCCCTCCCGATTCATTATGGACTAATAAAGAATTTAAACATTTCAATTGGTCTGATTGAAGATGTAAATGAAGAACAAAGTAATGAATCATCAAAAGTATATAATAAGAGAA